ACATGCAGAACATTACACTTGCTTGAAATGTGAGACTTAGTACATTGGGAAAAAGAAACACTTTCACAATTGCTTATTTCCTAGTAAACATCTGCATTAAAAATAAATACTAAATACATCCTTAATAATTTGCTTTGCAGCTTTACGCTTTTTGAATACTTTATAACCAGCATTCAAATCTATGTTTCCAAAAAATTCTATTCTATATTCTTTCAAATACATGACCTTAGTCTATTTTACCCTCTCTGTAATGCTGAAGTAATAATTTTCCCTCAGTTGCTGCAAATCAAACGAAATGGAAAATTCTAACTTAATTGACAATAAAGCACAGAAATTCAATACACAAAACTATAAAAGAATGTATTACTATATGCTTGCTCTAAATTGTGGGATGAAGAAGTATAATGCTTTTTCAGAGATTTCTTTAACCTCGTCAAATATGATCTTGCCCCATACGTAAACAATATTCTAATTTTAATCTGCTTTTCTCAAATCTAGTATTGAGATATCAATTTTAGCTAATGCGCTATACTCCTAAACATTACCCAAGCACATCTTAAAGCCAACAACTGAAGCTATAATATTTATTTTTTTAATAGCGGCAGCTGAGAGCTGGATTATTTTTTTGGGAAGAGGCCATTTCTTTAGACGTGAAGTCATTTAGAAGTCTTCCTTTGGAAGATTTTACACTAGATTAGCCTGTGCATTCTTCTTTAAAAAACTGTTCTACATATCAAAATAAAATACACAATTTCTCTTAATTTTTTCTTTTGCCAAAACAGAATAGACAGTAATGCTAGAAGCACTTTGTGTCTACAGTGGCACAATCACTTACTCTGAAGTATGGTGCAAGATGGAGGGCAAGCTTTACCTATTGCATGTTGAGCCACCTGAAATATACTTCCTCATCCATGTTTCTCCTAGATATGGTTAAGTTCTAAAGGGAGCTATTAGGGAGCTATTTTTAAAGATTTGCATGTGGCCTCACAAAAAAGGAGATACTTATGAATCAAGCAATTCCTTTGCAAGAGCTATCATTCTAAGTGATTCATGCAAGACTGTAAATAGGCACTCAGGAAACCTATTTAATGTCTCAACTATGTAAACCTTTAGAATATTCACAAAATGAAACAAAAGAAAAGCATCATTACATAATGTTTTCTAAACCAAACGGTAGTCGTCACCTCTAAAAACAAATACATCCTTTAAAATTACATTCTGAGTTTGTTAGAAAATTTATCTTTCATATCAAGCTTTAGAAACTCCTGTATTTCAAACTATGTCTTCAATTTCAAGCAAATATTTTCAATACTTGATTACTCCTTAAGATTGAGCGGTATATTGTTATAGGTACCCTCTGGTTTCACAATATTTTAGTTTCAAGTGCACATTATAACTCCTTTCACTGAACTCTTATCTCTTTTTAAAAGTGTTGTGTCTCCATGCCTTACATCAAACCTATCTACATCAAATAGAAAATATTAAAACCCCTCCATATTTTAGTGTTCCTCTCAAAACCCAACTACAGTTCATTTGAGTAAAAAGATATTCAAAATCCACACTTTTATGTAATTACAGATATAGCTTCCTTATAGTTATGTTACAGATCAGACTTCGCCTCATTTGAGTAAATATTTTCAATTAACATTTCACTGTTTGACTAACTTGTAAATCTTGACTGTGCCACTCACTAATCTTCTAAAAGGTAAAAACTGCAGAAGTATTTAGTTCAATAAAACTTAAACAGATGTATATAAAATAATTTATAAAATAAATTCACTGTAAATTCTAAAAAAAAAAGTGTGTCACAAAAGGATCACAAGCTTAATCCTTTTTTGTGGACAAAACCACAAAACCTAAACTTTCAGTTCTAGTGCATGCTACTATACTGAAATGGTCTATCTATATAATCTGATGTATGGCAACTACTAGCACATATAAAAGTACAGAACATGTCAATATGTTTTAGACAAATGTTAATAATTAAATATATTCTAACTTCAATAACTTTTTTTGGTACAAAACTATAGTCACTAAGGCAAACTTCAGCCAATTAATGAACCATTATAATTTATCAGAATGAAACGTACGTTTTTAGGAAGAATTTTAAATCCTTTCACAGGCAATTACTTAAAGATTTTAAACCATATGAACAGCAGGTTAAGTAAAGACACTGCACATATAACAAACAATTCCTCAGCCATCCAATGCTACACACATGCACCTAAAATGGAGATTTAAAAAAAATTAATCTCCATTAGTCAAACAGTAATAACTAGTTAAACAATTTAATATTTTTTATTCCAGATTCGTTACTAGATACTCTGCTACATTTTTTGAAATAATAATTGCTTATTTTCCTCTAATCCCTACTCAGTTAGCAAACCCAAAGTGAGAGCCACAGAAATTTTAGAAAAACCTATAATTTTTAAAAGCAGATTGTTCAAGAGTCATGTAACCAGCCCTGTTTGAGGTAACACACAGCAGGAAAAGCTAGAAGACCCACCAAGATTATTCCTGAAATCTGCAGTTTCAGCAGTTGCGTATTTCCATTTAACTTAGTGATCAACTTTCACAACCAGAAAAATCTCTTCTATGACATTCCCACAAACCTCCCTTTTCCTAGTTGCAGATGGGTAGGAAAGGGTGAAAATAAAATCCAGTAATTAGAAAACATTTGTTGAGTGAAGAGCAAAGATGATGACAGTGATCACTAGTTTTTTGACAAAGTTTTGTCTTTAATAACAGACAGTGCCAAACAAAATGGATATTGAAAAAATACTTTTGTTTTCCCATCCTAAACATCTCTTGCCCTATCAACTTGCATTTAAAATAACACTATTTCCGAGTCCTGCACAATGGTACAGGCAGGAGAAAGAAGCAGTGAAGGCAGAAGGTCGCTTCTCTTACTTTGTGATAAAGGAAGAGAAAAAAGGACTCTGAAAACTTTCTGTGGATCACACCCCTGCACAACTTCGGCTGCATAGCAGAAAGCCTATCTGGTAGCCAGCATCTTATGACAGTCCCTAAATTTACTCTCATCAAAAGAAATACAGCTTTAAGAACCAAAAAAAAAAACAACTAAAAAAATTCAAATTTACTAAATACTTTACCATCATTTAGTAATTATCAAAAATAAGCCCCCACAGCACTTTAGAAGCAGTGGTTACCTAATACCTAATTTGGATAAAACTGCAGCTGTTTATAGGAATTATCTGAAGAAAAGCAAGTTTTAAAATTCATAATCTCTTTTAAAAACCAATATGGAAAATAAGGCAGAAGATTGAAGAAAATATTTTTCAGATAATTATGAACAAAGGACTAGAACATCAGAATCTCCTTTTCTCCTCCCATGCAGGATTACTATTCTGTTTCCAAGCCTAATTATGAGGACAGTTTACGAGAGAATTTGTTGGGTTTTGGCATGTCGTATGCTTATTTTTGGCCCATCTAAATTACTACTAAGATCTTTTCATGTAGTAAACAAGACATATCACTAATTTTCTACCATATTTTTTAATTGCAACTTAAATGTACAGTTCTTCACAGCATTGTTTCATCTTATCCTTTAAGTCCTCAAATGTGGTATTAAACACTTCTAGAAAAAGCCTGAAGAAGAAAACTAATTCACTGCCTTTTTTGCAGTAAAGCACAGTACTTGTTCCCAGGATTCCTTCCCACAGCAAAATGGTCCTCCTGCATCTTTTATTTCTTGCCAACAATACAGCTGAAGAAAGCCCTTTATCTTTTTGTGGGCAGTTAAAAACTGTTGCCATCAGTTCTCATCAGTATAACTGTATCAGCAATCACTGTAACATCCTGCCTCTATTTCACAGTCCGGTACTGAGCAGGATCCAGGAGTACCTAGCAGTAGTAGCTTGTCTAGGTAAGAGAGTCACAAAGTTACCGATGAGCTCTAAGAGGCAATCTGCCTCCAATTTGGAAATAAAAATACAATCTGGCACACAGCCCTTGAACTGTATCAACTTCTACAGTAAATCATATGCTGTAATTGATACTAAAATCAGCTATTCTGAGTACAAGACATCTGTACATGCGACACATTTTGATTCTAAAGGTATGTGTTGCTTGCAATATATCACTGATTCAGACTTTTCTCACAACTCTGATTCCTTGAAATAAATTAAAGATGTACTAATCCTTCCAGTTAAAAACAACAATTATATCTGAGCTAAAGAGGAGATCTTGTCCAGAAAAATCTAATTGAAGCATACAGGACCTAAATACAACACAATTTTTTATCTAAACTTATTATGAGATCATTTTAATGAAAGCCCAGCAGATTCAATTAAAGTCTGCTTTCTGGTTGCTAAGCCCTATTACTCTTCTTTCAAGAATTGTGAGCAGTTTCTACAGCTTTGCGAAGAGGGCACAATGCCAGCTATAAAGTCAAAATCAGAAGAAGTTGTGGTCAACACTAGCTATTCAATGGCAGCTATTCTACACTTTAATTAGATTTCTGCATCTACTAAAACACTGTTCAACAGATTTTTTTTGTTCACTTCTGTTTCAGATAAGAAACATGATAATCAAACCCTTGCATGATCTGCATTAATGAAGGCAGCATTAATAAATTTTTATAAACATAGATTCCTCATAATCCACATTTCAGCTCATAAAATTGTTAATTATGTTAATTTAATTACTTTTAGGATGCTCCTGTAGCTTTAATATCATTAAATTGCTGGTTTGTTTATCTTTCTGACCTGCTCTAAAACACTGACAATTCACCCTGACAAGAGAAAATTAATTCTCTTGTGTTAGAAAAACAGATTATCTTGGTTATTTACATCTTAATCCACAGTGTAAATGTGTTTGGCAGGTCAATAAGTGAATCAAGTCAATATTTCTGATGTAATGTTTCCCCTAAATAAGTTTCTGTTTGTTTTTTTTAAAAAAACACATTTTCTTCATTATAATCACAATGACAAAGTGATGAAGATGGAACTTTAATTCCTTATAAGGTCAGAGCAACAAACCTACCTGACTAGATTTTCATTATCTCCAGTCCCTTTGCAGGTAGCACATTCAGTCCTTAAATCCTCTGACTTGGGCTTCTTTTGCAGAACAGACTGTCGCTGTCTCCTTTCTCTGGGAATCCGTTCCTGTCATAGCAGAAGGCAAAAGAAAGGAATGGGGGGGAAAGGAGGGAAGGAAAGCAAATATTTCCAATTATAGCAGTGAAAGTAACACGTCAGCCCAAAGTTTAATTTTTTTTTTGTGAAACTGTTAAAAAAAACAAAAACAAAAACAAAAAAACAAAACACTATATTCCAACCTCAGCTTTTTCTTCTTCAGGCACAAAGCTTCGTTTTCGTCCTCTAGTTCTCTAGAAGAAAATATATTTAAAATTCAGTATTAGGTAACATAATGTTTTTGCTGTTTATCTATTATTCATAACAACAACAAAAACATACTGCAGGAAATAATTTAAAGCATTAACTACAGAACCACTGCAAGAGAACTACAATAACAGATGTTAGAACAACAGCTTCAGATTCTGGATATAAATCTACAGAACCAGCCAAAAAATAAATATAAATACGTTTGTTGACCCGAGCATGTGAAGCTTTATTCTAAAAAAGACTGCCACGAGAATTACAAATCTCTTACAGACTTTGCACAAACTTCCCAATACTAAAATGTGTAATTTGAAAATTTATATGAACAGTATATTACAGTAAATTCCTTGAGCACTTAGACGTGCTCTATTTGTAAGCCAAGTGATTGGATTAAAAAAAATCAAAATTAAAAAACTTCATCAAAACAGAAACAGAAAATAATTCTTATAGGTTTTGAGGAGTAAGCAAGAATTAAAGCTTTCAGACTGACGCTCAATATAATGGGTATAGGGGAGATGCTCATAAAGCTGTAGCATATACCAGCATATGACTGGTACAAAACTGATGGAATGGGTAATGCAAAAAGTGGAAATTATTTCAGTATTGCACTTGGCCAAAAACTCTGAATACCAACAACATCGAGGAAAAGACGTTTCCAGGAACTGTAACAGCAAACACCAAAGGTTTATAAGCAGCTCTGAGCAACTCACACGAGTCCAGCTTCAGTCACTACATTTTTATCTCTGAAACAGCAGCATTATAACCTGCATGCATTAAATAACTGCCACAAGCTGACAATATCACACTCTCTCCTCCTTGTTTAACAAGGAAAGAAAATTAGAAGGGATGCAGACGGAAATGAAAAACATCAGAGACTATTCCACTAACCCACCATGTGTGATACTTTGACATGAATAAAACAAACAAACAAACAAACAAACAAACTTTAAAATGCTTGTTTTTCTAGGAGGATATCATCATCTTAGGAAGTAATTTGTCATATCATAAAAAAAAAACCTGACTACTTTATGATTTCTTAAAACTTTTTTTGAAGTAGCTAGTGTTCATCTCAGAAGAAGTAAAAACCAGCTGATCAAAAAAATCTTAAGCCAGTTGAGAATCACAAAGAGCCATAAATCCAATTCCAAAGAAGCTAGTACTATCATGTTTCTCCTGTTTCGGGTCCTCTTTGAAGGGGATTTATACTAGTTTCAAATTAAGACTGTTCACTATTTTAAACTATCTTACGCATTTGAATATACTGTAAATAAACCTGCCACTTCAACACATCTATACCTTTCTACCTATACAGATTTTGATTTGTGCACGTTACCATACTGTTTGGGAAGTGTTTTTTGTTTTTAGGCAAGAGTTAACTCTGTAGTAGAAAGGAATGTAGTAGAATGGAAAACACCAGTCTATTTTGTGCCACTTTAGAATACTTTAATTACCACTGAGGTTTCTCTTTCACATTTCCCTAAAGACGATTTATAAAAAATTGTAAAATCTTATCTATTTAATACATACCAATATTTACTACGCATTTAATAATACAGGCATAATTGAGGTGTTCTACCTTCCACAAGCCACACAGTAGATACCTAAGAGTCCAAATCTGGAAGAACCGGTTTATTACAAGTAACTGTATTTCTCAATGTAATATTAGAGGTATTAACATAACATGGGCTACATGTCAACTACACATTACACAACCCAAGGTCACTGTAAATTAAAACTAGATGGAAAAAAGTTTGATCAGACATCCGCACATTAACTGCCAATTTTACTACTTTCAACCTCTGGCATTAGTCCCAAGAACACTTACAAACTTTTGACAATTTTAAGCCATGTGGGCCCTGTTGAATGCAGCTGTGTAAAGATTAAAAAGAAGTAGGTGTAAAAGTGCATGCCAATATGTGCAGTTATGGTCGGCATTCTCCATGTTTAAGCAGCAAGAGACCATTATGCATGCTTTGTACAGTCAGAGTAATGCCATCTTGAAAACTGATACAAAATTTGGAAATATAGCTAACAATGAAATTATTTTTTACCCTAAGTGGAAAAGATTACAAGTTAATAACTGTATTTTAAGAAGAGATGAATCATATTTAAACTTCAGCAAAATGGAGAGACAAGATTTATAAATTATTTAAGTCACCTTTGTCAAGAAAATGTTGGTTTTCATCTGTCTGCTATATAATGTGTGATGTATATGACAAGGAAAGTCACATTAAATTACGCCTGCATTATGCTTCCATTAGACATACATTAGTTTTCTAAACGTTCAAAAATACTTAAATGTGTTTGACAATCACTAGAATACAAACATTAAAATCAACACCTTTGACATACACTTTTGTAGGGTATTTTATATGCTTTTAAAGTAACAGAATTTTACATTAATGTTTTTCCAAATTGAGTTCCACACTTAAACATATTTGCAGTGCTAACTTCTGCTCAGAATCATTATACTATTGCCAGCATTCACAATGGAAAATAACATCAAATTCACAACTGAAAATTGAATATTCTGTGATTTTCAACAACAGACTTCCAGTAATTAGGCATTTTTAATTTTACATGTTTTCACTGAAGTTACCTTACACATTCACAGAAAAGAATCAGATAAACCCGGATTACTTTGTCCAGTATTTTTCATTGCTGTTTGCCTCAAAGTACTGTATCGGCATTTTTAAAATGTTTTGAATGATTTCTGTCATTAGTGGGCTCAGAATCAGAACATAAGAGATTATAAACATCAAATATTAGAGCTGCATGTACTTGCCATAAACAATTTAAAATTTCAGATTTCTTATAAAAGAAAAGCTGAAAGGAACAGTGTTGTTATATATGTCCAATGGTAAATACTACAACTGAGAGAAACTTGTTCATATTCAGAACTTATTTGGAAAAAGATGTTAATCCAGTGTAAGATGCATATAAAGGCAGGGATTTTTTAATCAAAACACTGGGCAATTCAATATTATAGACATACCTTCAAATTACAACTTCTCTGTATCATAAAACGGACCAAGTCAGTTTTGTGAAATTTGTCCCCGCGTTTCCAAAGTGCTCAAAGACTAAGTCAGGAAAACAAAAAGTCATGTTGTCATCAGCCAGGCAAAATCCCCATTAATACCAGTGCTATCCCAGCAGGTTTTTTTGTTTCACTGCAGAAGATAGATATGTTCTAAAATATCGACCAGCTGGAATGGACAACTCAGTCCAGAACAAAACACAGCTAGATCTGAATTAGACAGATGCAGCCCATAGATGGCAACTGCCTCAAGATGCCACTTTAGGACAGGAATCAAAAAAAAGTACTGAGCAATGGAATGTGGTTCAAAATGTGTAACTATATCATTTCCTCTATGTAGAAGTAAAAGGTTTCTGTAAAAAAAAAATATTTCAAATGTTGACATTTAATGACAGCTGATTGGCAAGTCTTTGGTTGAGTCTCATCCTAAATTCTGTACTTGCACAACTCTGGAATTCATTCAACGTGCACTCAAGTACGAGCTAAGTGTGCTGTGTGCTCTGACACTTCCCTGGAGGATTCCAGCCACCGAGCTTTAGATCCCACAGCATCAATGGAATCGCCATGCAGGCACATACATTCTGGTTACTACACAGACAACTTAAGATTTCTGTTGGCAAATAAACTATATACCTATAGCTAAGGGCTAATTAAGTACTGATCCTATATAAGGTTAACTACCCCAGAAAATCAGACAAACTTATGCCAACGTCGTAATCATGACAAACAAGGCAGATGCTATTTTTCATTTCATATCCTTTCACAATTAGGGCCCTTAAAAATTAAAAATAAATACATACATAGATGCTAAAACCAGCAAAACTAGTGAAATTTGAATTCCTAATACTATACCATAATATTCCTATTCCTCCCCTTCTCTAGTGACTTCTTAACCTCTCCTTCTCTACTACATTCAAACCATGTCTCCCACCATATCCCCACGTTCTCCCTATGCTCCCCAGCTAAAGTGAGGACACTCTAAGGCAGGTTCCAAACTACACATGTTCTACACTGGACAGCGAGAGACCAAACGTAAAGGATAATCGAGCTCATAACTAAAACCTCTTCCTTAGTCAGCACTCATCCTTCCCATCCAGCTGCTCTAAAAATTACCCAAGAACTTAATTACCTTAGGCATATATACCTCTCTATCAAATCGTGATGTAATGGGTCAACAGGTTACTAGAGGCAACGGTACTTGAATGGTAGGCAACTGTATAACTTATTTTTGTTAGAAAACCAAGTTAAAAGCTATTCTTTTCTGAAATGAAGAAACAGTCAAAAGATCTAGCTGCTGTGTCACATAGAATGTACCTTACGTTGAACGGAAATGAAAGAGAAAAATAGTGTTTTATTTCATTAGCAATACATCCTAAAATAATCTGAGCAGACCAAGATCAATGAATTAAAATTAAGATGCAAGCATAAAATTGAAGTATTTTTAAAAAAGGGGGGGGGGAATCAATGAAAAAGTTCAAAATAATAAAAGATAAAAATAGATTAAATTTTTAGCAAAACATTTTGAGGGAAAAACCCACCTCTATATGTCTGCAAAGTGGCTTCTAATTAAACTCTTTAAAATCACTTAAGATGGTGTTTCTCAGGTAAACAGACTGAGCCATTTGGTTCAATGAAATCATCGAGGTGAAAGCAAGCCATCTTTTCCGAGAATATCTTACTAACGCTTAGCTTTCACAGCAATCTTAATGCCCTCCCTCAGAAAAGAGTAATGCTCTGGGTAATGAAACCTAAAGATTAAAAATGTCCCTTTTGGTCTTTTACTTCAAAGCTTGTCTTCTATGGAAGTTGGAGAACCATCCCAGAGTATTAAAACATACACCATTCCTCTGAGTTATTTTATTAACTTCTGACTTCACATTCAAAATTTGGGAAAAAAAACCCAAAACCCCCACACAACTGCTTTTTGCCTCTTCAATGTTTTAAAAATCC